GAAAAAATATCATTCTATTCTCATTTTTCAATATATTTATAATTACTTTACAGAGGATAATTGATGTAGGCCGAAAGGTACCACATTGAAGCCACTTAAGTTATATTTTTAGCCTTTCAATATTGTTTATTTGGTGGAGATGATGTGTTTTATGCACTTGTACAGATTTGGCAGGTAACACGCTAATTCAATAAAAAAAGGACGCGAAAGCAGATTTTCCGTGCGAGGAACGAAAAAGCCCAGCCTACCACCTCACTGCATGTGTGGCCAAGCCCCACTACACGTGCGGCCTATCATCGCTCGAGCGGCCTAGATAGGGTTGTGTGCGGGAATTTTCAGTCTATTCTACTGGGAATAAAAGGAAGAAAAAAGGGATGTAAAAGGGTTCAAAAATTATTCTAAGGAAAGGAAGGTTAGGGCTTTGAAAAGGTGATCATTCTCAAACTTCAAAGGAAACTTTCATGGGGGCTTCCACCTCTTCCATCTCTTCCACCTCTTCCCACTCCTCCATGAGTGGCTAGGCTCTTCTTTTATAGGATTTTGATGAAACCCTAGCTATGTAATTAGATTTTCTTTTTGGTTTTTGATTATGTAAAGGTTTGAACAATTGTATGGTGTTTTAGAAGTTTCAAATATATATTTTTCACTATTTCTTTGAGTATTAGGCTTTCTGTAATTGTTGAATGCTTTCCATACAATGATTTTCTTTTCTTTCATATTCAAAGTATGAGACGAGCCATACTACAAGGAACGAGTCGTTTTGCTACCCTAGTTTAGAACGAACAACTCGTACTACTTGAGATGAGTTGTGCATATACATTGAACGTGATAACTCTCTTGATAAATGCTTCGAGCTTACAGTTGCAAAGTATTATTTAGTTTGAACTGTAGCATATTGATTTCAAATTGAAACCTTTTTTACGTAGCTAGTGGTGAACTCATTGCCCTAAGTTTTTTTCCAAATCAATAAATTCATCTTTATTTATAATTGTTAGTTTATTCGCTTTGTTTAATTTAATTATTATTAAGTTATGAATAATCAATCTTTTTATCAAAATTAATTTAGGAATTTAGTATTTAAATTAGTTTAATTTCACAATTGTCACTGTGAATTGATACTTGAACTTACCATTATTCTAAGGAATTTGGTTTAGTTTAGTGTTTATATTTGGTGTGTGAAACGACCCATCAATAATTTTAGAAACTTTTAAATTTAAAATTTTGACTTTTCAAAGTAGACATACATTTTAGAATAATAAAAAATAAAATAATGGATCAATAAAATGGGACGGAGGGAGTATTTTACACCAAAACACTAAACACTCAATTTAAATAAGGTCACTTGATGAGGAAAATTATATGAAATTGGGTAAATTATAAACAGGCCCGGCCCTGAGATTTTCGGGGCCCAAAGCCAATATTCAACTAATAAATTTTTGGGGCCTTTCACATTTTTTTTCTTTGAAAGAAAAAAAATGAAAAAAAAAATGAAGATAAATGACAACAATTACAAAAAATACTTAGTATTACATTACAACAATTAATAAGTGTCGCTTGATCCTTTCTCTTCTTGTATTTTTATAAGTAAATAAATCAATTATACTTGCATAATCTAGTTTTTTTGCAAAATCATTTTCAATGGATAACAATGCTAATTATTTTAAATGGACCTTTCAATTTTTTAATGGGTCAATTTATTTTAAGTTAGTTTGGGTCTTCCTTAATTTTTTTTTTTTAGATTTAAAACATACCTAATATATTACAATAAACTATAATAGGAGGGGACCCTTTTTTTTGGGTCTATTTTCAATGGATAACAATGTTAATTTTTTTGAATGGGCCTTTCAATTTTTTAATGGGTCAATTTATTTTAAATTAGTTTGGGCTTTCTTTAATTTTTTTTTGAACTTAAAATATACCTAATATATTACATTCATAATAGAAGGGGGGCCCCTTTTTTGAGTCTATTTTGAGGGGCCCTAGGCCATGGCCTTGTTGGCCCATGCCCAGGGCCGGCACTACATCTCCTAAAATTTAATTAAAATATGATTGCCCTTATAATTCTAAAAATTACATCTCGTCCCTTAAAAATTTTAATTTCATAACAAATGGTCGGTAATAAATCATTAAGTTAATTAACAGTTTTTAATAATAACAGAAATTTATTTCAATTAATAATTTAGGTAATTTTATCATTGTATTTGTATAGAGCGGTTAAGAATTTTATTTTTTCAATTAATTTTGTTAAATAAAAAATTCTAATAAGAGGTATTTATAATTTTTTAAACTACAATGGACAATTCATATTTTAATAAAATCTCAAGGGATGTATTTGTAATTTGTCCCAAGAAATAATAAGAAAGGGAATTCTTTTATCATATTTAGTCTATAAGTTGAGTGTGGAAAAATGAAAAAAATGCAAAAAATAGTACTCTCTTATTTTGAGTAAGAAAGATAATTTTATCATTTTTTTTTCTTTCATACTTGGGTGTAGTTTATTAGTTGAGTAAGAAAGATAACTCCCTTATTTTGCCTATTTCATTTCTTATTAAAAATGATGAGATTTTGCCTATTTCATTTCTTATTAAAAATGATGAGATTTTACGATAAATAAATTAATTGATGGTAAAATATTTATAATATTAGCCCTTAAAATATGAAAGAAAACAAAATCCTTATCACATCCCCCTCTCACATTCTTTGCTTTCTTATTCATTCAAATATAATTAAAAAAAAACGCAATTATTTATTTATTTTTCTAATGAAAAACCAAAATAATTTATTTCTTTCACCTCATGATCCAATCAGAGTGCAATTGTGGTGCAGTAATAAATATATTAACTGAGACACAAGATATGTGGAATACATTACTTGATGTGGCTTATCAAATTGGCTTTATTAAAGGGTGATCTCTCTCTTCGTTTTTTGGCTTAAGCAAAACGACGTCTGTATAATCCGAACGCCTTTTTTCGTGGCTTATCAAATTGCCTTGAACATTTTTTATTTTGTGCTGCTTCGGTGGATTCCACGTGTGATCAAGTGAAATTAATATTTTGTCCTTGTTATACCGTAAGTAATTTTTATTCTGGATCCTATGGTATCATTTACGCTAAAGTTATGGACTAAAAAAAAAATGTCATATAATTGTCTCTAATACAAATATATGATTGAGATTGATTTAGCATAATATGAGGGTGATGGCTTGAATAAATTTTAATCAAATAACCATATTTCTTAATACATTTGTGGATAATAATTTTGATTTGTAGCGTGTCATTTATGATTTAATAATAACTCATATAACTAAAAATTAATAATAACTCAAATAATTCCATTTTTTTAAATAACAAATTCTATAATAAACTTCTAATAAATTTCACTTTCGTCCCTCGATTGACCAGCTACGGTTTTTAGGTCCCTCTTCCTTCCGCATGATTATGTTTTATAATTTTAAAGTAAGTTAATAAATTTTAATAATTAACTATATTATTTCAAAATAGTAATTAAAATGGGAGAATAAATGGACGAAAATTTTGTTGTGCCAAAAAATAGAAAAGTTACCATTCAAATGACATTGTTAAAATACAGTATTTTGTCACTATTCATTGTTAATATATAGCAATAATTACATATTTAGATATTGAACCATTGAAAATGACAACCTAAAAAGTGTCTTTAACAAAGTAATTTTGGCTTTTATCATTGAAGTAATTTACTTAGGAGCACGCCTGTTGCCAGTTCATCAAGTGAACTAGATAATATTGTTAGATTTATGGGATTCATCACATGTCTCATTTCGATAATTCGAACTGTTAATATATAGAAATCGTCGAGTACTTCATCCTTACAGAAAATCAAGTATATCGAATATCAATAGCCTGTTGATAAGACCATATTGTTTTCAATAATATGATTTTAAAAATAAATTGTTGATAAAAATATATTCTGATCAAGAGACTATCGATATCTAATCAACGTAATTTTTTACAGGGATGAAGTACTTAATGTGTTATACATATTGAACAGTTCAAATAATTGAAATAGAACTCGTGGTGAAAAAAATTACTTGACATTGATAGGTGGGAAAAATAATTGCAAAAGAGTGGTGGTGTAACTTTTTTTGTGAAAAAATTTACTAAAAAAGTTGCCCTCCAACTCTTTTGTAATTATTTTTGATTTTATGGCCTGAATAGTAACTCTTCCCATAATTTATCTCATAATTTATGTGTTGTTCAAACAAAAAGTGTGACAATTTCTTTTTGGGTGATGTTATTGAAATGGAACTTGTGGTGAAAAAAATTACTTGACATTGCCAGGTGGAAAAAATAATTACAAAAGAGTGGTGGTGTAACTTTTTTTGTGAAAAATTTACTAGAAAAGTTGTCCTCTAACTCTTTTGTAATTATTTTTGATCTTATGGCCTGAACAGTAACTCTGCTCATAATTTATCTCCTAATTCATGTGTTGTTCAAACACTTCCAAAAAAGTGTGACAATTTCTTTTTGGGTGATGTTATTGAAATCTAAAAATTAGACTTATTTTTTAAATTTGATAATTTATTAGAATATTTAAGATAATTCTTTCTCATATATTCTCTAATGATAAATCAGTAGTCTCAATAATATATCATTAAATTTTAAAAAGAGATTTATCATTATGGAAAAGTTTTATCTCTAGTCCACTTTGTGGACAAAGTAGATTGGACAGTATTGCTGGGTCCATAGGCCCCTCACAAGTCTCATTTCTATAATCTAAACCGTTTAATATGGAGAGTTCGTTGAATATCTTGTATCCATACAAAAAAATTACATTGATCAGATGTTAATAGTAACTTGATTAGCTCATTTTATCAATAATAAATATGATTTAAAAAAAAAAAATTGACAAAAATACATTACAGTCGAGTGATATCCGATTAACATAAATTTTTTACAAAAACAAAATATTCAATAAATCCTACACATTTGACAATTCAAATAATCAAAATGGGAATTGTGAGTCTAAAAGGCCAACTGCACCATCCTGTCCATGGAGAGAATCTGCCCCCTATAATTTTCCTTTCCTTTTTAGGCAGCCGACTGGCATGTCCTTCTGCTTTACCAGGTAGCAGTAGAGTAGCGGACATTCAGGAGACTGAGAGAATCCGACGAAGTTTGGACAAAAATGGAGTACAACAAGAGAGCTTTTTACGGAGACTCCTCATCCGGCTCGTCCTCCGATCGTCTCCCACCAGCATCATCATCATCAGCTTCCAATTCCAGTCAACAACTATCAAACCCTTTGCCTCCTCTACATACTCTTCGTCTCCACAGTCCTCCCAATTCTATGGGTAACACATCTTTTAACGCTTCAATTCTCTCTCTGCATATGCATACATACACATATATGTACATACGATTTGAATTTGATGCTCATCAAGTGTTTGATTTTTTTGAGGAAGAAGGTGATAAATCAGACTACTTGCCAAATGGCAAGGCGAGTAGGATTCGGAGCTTCCCTCATGTTAAAGGCAACTATGCGTTACATGTCTACATCCCAGGTAATATTCTTAAAAAATGTCACGTTTTGTGTATTGTTTCCATAGATTTAGTACTAGTATGAGATACAACTCCAAAGCCTCTTTTCCATTTTAAGCTTAGAATTCAACTGGGTTTGTGGATTTGTTTTTGGGTGAGTTGAGAGTTAGAATGAAAGTGGTGGAAAGTAATACTGTGTTTGGGTTATGGATTTGGGTAGGAATTTGGGAAGGAATTGGAAATAGGGGTGAAATGTGAGTAAAACATAATTATATTTCATACCCCTTTTCAAATTCTTATTAAAATTTTTGAACTAAATACAGTCTTAAAAGTTAAAAAAAAAATAATCATATAAAATTGATGTCATTATGCAAACTTGCCTTTAGTTTTATTGAAATAAAATAAAATATAGGTAAATTATACCATTAGTCTGGTAGTTTAAGTCAAATTTACTTTAGTTTGCATAATTTTAATTTGAACAATTTGAAATCCGTTACTTACGATTAGAATTTTTAACAGAAAAAGATCACATACAAAACTAAAGGGGCTAAAGTGAAATTTAAACGAAACATAGGAACTATCGGTGTAATGAATAAATTACATTAGTTGTCACTATAGTTTCTTTTAAATTTCATTTTGGTCTCTCTAATTTTGTATGTGATTTTTTTTCGTTCAAAATGTTAACGATGCATAACGGATGGACAACATTACAACAAAATTAAAAGTACAAGGTTAAATTGTTAAAATTGAAACTACGGAGACTAAAATGACATTTAACTTGCACTACAAGGACTAATAGTACAATTTATCCTAATATATATACACACATATAAGAACTGGTGAAACTGAAAGTAGTTCGTTATTATCTCTTTTCTAATTTTCTAGTTGTTATCCCACTTTCTATTTTCTTACAAAATTTTCACAAAAATTTAATGGAAAATTACACCGGTAGTCCTTATAGTTTGTCTATTAAGTCATTTTGGTCCCTACATTTTCAATTGACTCAATTTTGGCCATTAATTTTAGATTTTGTTCTAATTTGGTCTAATTGATATGACCATTAGGAGTTTTGATGGAAAATAATTATTGAGTTGGTTGAGATTAACTTATTGAATTGTGTAAGTTTATAATTTTGTCCCTAAAAGGATGACACATGGCACTTACGTGCACGTTTTTCATAAAAAATGGTAACAGTTGTTACCAATTGGATCAAATTGAGACAAAATTATAATTCAGAGTCAAAATTGAGCCAATTAACATTTCAGAGATCAAAATGACAAAAGAGCAAATATATAGGGACTATTGGTGTAATTTGTCCACAATTTAAACTTAATGAAATGTATACAAAAGATTTTTTTTTTCAATTTTAAAATTTTTTTACTTTGCCCCCTCAAAATATCAAACTTGTATTACTTTACCCTTGAATTATCAATTTTAACAATTATCCCTTAAATTATTCACATTAGTTCATTTTATCCCAAACCTTTAATGAAATTAATTTTGATGGAATTATCACATCTGTTGGCACACACATGCTTAATTGAGGGTATTGATTTACTTTGGTCCATAGTAATGAGACAGATAAGGGGACAAATATGTATACACCATGCAATAAAACACAACAAATTGTTTTGAAATTATTTAATAAAACACAAAATACAACCAATTGTATCAAACTATAGCCCCTAGATATAATCAAATTATGCAAATCACATGCACAATTTTTGTGTGCCTAGAAGTGTGATATTTTGTCAAAAATACTAGCTCCGTTGATGGTTTGGAGTAAAGTGAACAAATGTTAAAATTTTAAGGCGGTAATTGTTCAAATTGATAGTTGAGGAGTGAAAGTGATACTAGTGTGATAGTTTGATGGAGCAAAGTGATTTATTTTTATTTTTATTTTTTAAACTCACTCTTCATCATATTTTTTACTCTAATCAAACAGACTGCCAGTGGTCAATGCTATGGTTAGGCTCAAACTTAAAAGTCTATTCTTCCTCTATTCCATTAAGCATTGGAAATAATTGTTGCTTATGAAGAAATTTGAGAAATTTCATTCATTTTGTACATCCCTATGTGTTTCTTAAGACGCCATTTCAGATTAACCAATATATTGGTGTCAAGTGTGTGCATGCTTGTGTCTCGGTAATCGATATTGGCATATTGCTCGAATGTAGTAGGATGGCAAATTGGATCATGAGAATTATTGGTGTTGTGCTAGTGTCATTATGATTAAATTTGGAATGAAATCATGCAGTTTATCTTTGACCTTTCCGAACAACTGATTTAAAGACATCTGAAGTGTGTCACATTTTATTTAATTTGAGTTCCAGAATTATAACATAGCATTAATTAAGTTATATGTCTCATTATAGTTCGTATCCCTTCTGCTCCAATGAAGGAGTTGGCCCAGTTTCTGAAGAAGGTCTCATCTCGTGTACCTGGTCTAAATGCCATTGACATTGACATCCCAGTCAACATTTTGTGCACTGATGATCTGAAGCTTGAACAAGTTTCCTTGGGGAGAGAATTCCACATAAGTTTGGGGAGAACTGTTCCAATTCGACGGCACCAAATTGACTCGGTGGTGGCAATGCTTCATCAGAAGCTTCAGTTTCAGAGCAGGTCAGATATATGTCCAGCTTATAATGTTCCAATTCAATTATTAAGAATGACAATGTGATGGCACATATATTTTATGATATGGGTTTCACTCATTGTTGTGATGTGAAACAGGTATTGGATTGATTTTAATGAGTGGGACGTTTTTGTGAATGATGATCGCACGCGCTCCTTTCTTTCAATTGCAGTTATAACAAAAGGATTGGCAGAGGTATGTTTGATAATGTCCTTTTGCACCACTTTTATCATGTTGTGAGCAGTTTTTCCTCCTTAAATTGGAATGCACATTGGTTTTATTCATAGTTCTATACTGCACTTTTATGTGGTTTTAAAGTGGCAGGTAGATGTAAGTGCATTCCAACTTCCAAAGACAATTTTACTTTTTCACACGGTGTATGACACTAGCGTCAACATGAGTATTTAGTAATAGCTCTAGAATATATATTGTTTGTTTGAAAATGCCATTAATATTATTGTCATACTAGTCTCTTTAAGTTCTCATTGCTATGAAAACTTCACAAATTTTTTATGCTGTCATACGTACATTGTCCTGGACAAGATATGGTCAGGGTTGAGGCATTTATGTTCACTTAGGTCTTCCTCTCAGGAGAGGTTTTTTTTTTATTTATTTTTTAATTGTATTGAGAACGGACTGGTTGTGCACCATATTATGTTACTTGATAGGCACATGAGTATTTTTTTCTTCTTCTAGTAATTTAATGGGAAATTTGGTCAAAATGCCTTTATAATAAAACTTAATACATTAAACAAGCACGGAAAAACTTCCTTGAAAAATCCAACAGACACCACTATTACCAAAATATCCTTAATGACTAATTTAATATTTAAAACTTTAAAATAATATTACTTTTGATCTAAATGTCGCTTTTTAATAAAATAAGTATTTTTAGAACCCTCTCACTAGGGATGTAATCGGTTCGGTATGATCGATATTTAAGTAAAAAATTTTACCAAACCGATAATGTCGGTTCTATTATTTTGAATACTGATACAGATTTCTTCTCCCATCAAATCGAACCGATCCAATCCAAACCAATTGAAACAATTCAGTTCGGCTCGATTCGGTGCGGTGCGGTGCAGTGCGATTGAGTCGGTTTAGGATATTTCACACTTGAGCCTTTTTAAATATAATCACTAATCTATATAAAAACATTAAATTAGTTATTTATTCATTATTTCAAACCAATCCAATCCATCTATTTAATAAATACTTTTCAATTCCTAGATTAACAAAAATAAAAACAAAAAAAAGTTAAAAAATACTAAGGTTTCAAGAATAATGAGTTAGAGTTAAGATTATATATAATAAGAGTTTACAAAGTAAGGCTATAAAGATGATAAGGTTAATTACTTAAGGTTATTAACCAGCGAAGACAGAAGTAAGATAAATAATTTATTATACTTATTAATATCATTATATTATTATATATATATATATATATTATAAATGCAATATATGTTGAAGCGATCGGTTTCGGTTTAGTTCGGTGTATAAGGTGCTTGAACCGATACCGAACGAAAACTGAAAAAAATCAAATTTAAAAACTGCACAGACTGATTCTTGTTAAAAAACAAACCAAATATAGCTGGTTTAGTCCGGTTCAATCGGTTTGATCCATTTTTTTGATTTTTCTTACATCCCTACCTCTCACCAAGATCTAGGTTGATTATGAAATTATTTTTTTAAAAAAAATAGTAGAATTTTTACAATCGAAATTGATGTAAATAGTAAAATTTTACTTTGATTTACTCTGATTCACAGTAAGTTTACTATAAATTTTTAATTTTTAAATTGTAAAACACCATAAACACCATACTCACTATAATTAACAATTACAAAAACATAACTTTAGTAGGGTAAAATTAAATAATAACTTTAACAGGGTAAAATTTTACTGTTAATTTAAAACAGAGCATTAGCAAGGTAAAATTTTACTGTTAAGCATTAGCAGATAAATGACAGATTACATATTATTATAGCAAACCAGAGTAAAATGTTACTATTATTTAAACAAAGTATCAGCAAATAAAACACTTCGACATATATTATCAAAGCAATCTAAGTAAAATTAATCTAATAGTGATTGAACGAATTATTAAGAATCAAATAGTGATTGAACGAATCTCTAACTCTAACACGAACACTAATTGAATGAAGTGATCGAACAAAACTCCAACTCTAACTCGAACATTGATCGAAATTGTAGGAGCCGGATAGTTGGAATAATCATAAGCGCACTCTGGAAGGAAGATATTACACGGCTCTACTCTGCACGATGAGAGTGCCGAATATAATGAATAGGCCGAGTAGATACTGAACTGTGGAGCCGGATAAATAGGAGAATAACGAGTGACAAATGGGCCTGGTCATGAAGCCTAGGGAACCAGTATAAATAAAGGAATAACCGATTGAGAAAGGTATGTGAGAATTACTATGCTTAACTTAGAATACAAGCTTCCTCGAATGTAGATACTAACTTGCCCGTCGGAGTGCTAATTCCGGCACCCCCGACCGGAGTGTTTATTCTTTTTCAGGTGACCAGAAGAGGATCACGAGCGTTCCCTAGGATCAGAAGAGTATTTCCAAACCACATCCCCACAATTGGCGCCGTCTGTGGAAATACTCAAGCACATCCATGGCGAGCGTGACGGAAGATCCTTCGATAGTCACTATCAACCCTATACCTCACGATGAAACCACTCCAACAAACTTGCTTGGACCAGAGACTATCGCCGCACGACGTGCCTTGAATTTCGCCTCACCCTCGACTTCAGAGCACGAGACAATGCAGGCGATCATGGAACAAGCAAAGCAAAATGAACAGAGGCTGGAGAACATGATCGCTGAGAACGAACGTCTTTGTGAAGATTTGGCCTTAGAAATGGCAAAGTCCAAACAAGCTGCGCGCCTAAATCCGGAACGATCTTCGAAGACAGGCGGTCGACAACCTCGAGCATGACAAGACACTGATAGCGACTCCGACTCATTATCCCCGGAGCCCAGGAAGAAGGGACGACTTGAAACCACCAGTTCTTCCGAAAAAAGTCCCTGTACAATGCAAAAGCGAAGAAGGAAAAGTTCGGACGAAGACCAACACGATCCCTTCGTACGACGGATTGCAAAAGCTGCGCTACCAAAGAAATTTAAAGCACCGTCGTTCACCCTGTACGACGGCAAATCAGACCCCACCGATCACTTTCGCCATTACAAGCAGGCCATGACATTGCATGCAGACGACGAGGTCCTCATGTGCCGAATATTTCCCAGCAGTTTGGGACCATTGGCGGTCCGGTGGTATTATAAACTGGAGCCGGCTTTGATCAAAACCTTCCACCAACTACAGAAATCCTTCAAGGCTAGATTCATTACCAACGAAGTCCAGCCAAAGCAAGCCGATTCCCTCTGGGCAATGCAAATTTTGCCAGGAGAAACACTAAGAGCTTATTTGGCGTGATATTAGGAATGCTTTAACCTTGTCGATGACGCTTGCAACGACTCCATGGCCATCACCGCCTTCAAAATGGGACTACACCCAGATAGTGCCCTCCGCAGTTCCTTGACTAGAAGACCCCCCAAAACAGTCTGGGGGTTGATGAAGAAAGTAGAGGAATACTGCAAAGTGGAAGATGACGCCTTGCGGGTTAAAGCCGGACACGTGGCCAACAAAACGGCCCCTCCCGAAATCGCTCAGCCAATAAGTTCCGCACCACCTCAAAGCCCTGAACCACGACAGCAGGCTAAACGAGACAAGAGATGGGATTCTCGCCGATCTAGCGATCGATGCCCACACCAAGTCAATGAGCAACTGCAGGTCGATAGCAGACGCACAAAGCGCGCCGACGAGAAATATACGGAGCTGTCAGAGCCGATCAGCTCAATTATGCCCAAGATCCAACATCTTCCATTCTTCAAATGGCCGTCCAAGATGGTGAGAGCTCCTGACACGAGAAGGCGGGACAGACGTTGTGAATATCACAAAGATCACGGTCATGATACGGACAGCTGCTATGCCTTGAAAGACCACCTTGAGGAATTGATCCAAGATGGTCGGCTCCAGCAACACGTCCAGAAAAGCACAATCAAAACTGTCGCCCTTCGGCAGGAGTCACCTCCCCTCGGCGTTATACATATGATATACAGTCTTCCAACGCCACGTACCATACATGCAATCCATTCAGCCCCCCAGAAGCAACGCGCACAAACGAAACAGCCCCACAAAGCGCCGAGCATTATCTTTGACGATTCTGATCTTATCGGCATAACACTCCCCCATATTGATCCATTGGTCATTGAACTACACGTGAACCGGTTTACCGTTGAACCCGTCCTCGTTGACCAGGGGAGCACTTTGGACGTCATGTATTACGAGACCTTCATCAAACTCGGCTTCAACGAATCAGACCTATCTCCGGCTCCTCATCCATTGTTCGGCTTCAACGCGAATCCGGAGTATCCGTTGGGGAAAATCACGTTACCCGTTCGGGCAGGCTCCCAAACGGTGGAAGTGGAATTCCTGGTCGTCAAGCTCCCTTCGCCGTATAACCTCATCATGAGGCGGACTTGGTTGCATACCATTCGGGCCGTACCAAGCACCTATCATCAGCTGCTACGCTTCCCGACCGAACACGGCATTGAGCAAATTCGGGGTTCCCGGCAATCCGCACAAGCATGTTATCTCCTTTCTGGAAAGACACCAACGGAGACGCAGGTCAACTCCATTGAAGCGTCAAATCGAGTATCGACAAAGTCAGACGGCTTCGTGATAAGAAGCCACGGAAGCTGTAGGCGATACCGGTAGCAGCTTCTCAAGACGTCTAATTAACGCATCTAGCTGCACCGCTGCACGCCGATAAAGTTGCCCCTTAAGGCATTTTTGGACGATAGAAGGCTGGTTGATGGAAAATTAGGCACGCGGCCTTGCTCCTAAGGCACTTTCCACTTGTGGGAATGATATTGGTTTTGAATGGCTCACCATGTACACTTCCCACTTCTGTAATGCAAAGATGCCTGTTTACTGACTCTGCAATCCAGTTCAAAAATGTTCCAAATAAAGTCTCTAGATTCGGAGCCCCATCGGCGCATGATGCCTTTGGGCCGATAAAGCCTCCAGATTCGGAGCGCCCTTCGTGGATGTCACAATCGGCCAAAATCAAGTCTCCGGATTCAGAGCCCCATCGGCGCATGACGTC